ACAGTTAATGGAGAAAGGGTACTCGGTTCTGATGAAGGACCAAGAACTACAACTGAAGGATAAACTCGGAAGACTCATTGCTCAGGTAGAAATGAAGAGAAATCGCATGTACAAAATTGAGCTGAAAATAGTACAAGATAAATGCATGCAACTTGATTTGGAGGATGAGGCCATGAAGTGGCATCTACAGTTCAGTCATCTTCACTTTGGGGGGTTGGCCGAGCTGGTGAAAAAGGAGATGGTGTTTGGACTGCCTAAAATGGAATTTGAAAAGAGGTTTTGTGAAGAATGTGTGATCGGGAAGCAAGCGAGGACTTCTTTCCCAAGGAGTTCTAAGTACCGAGCAAAGGAGCAACTCGAACTGATCCATACCGATTTGAGTGGGCCAATAACTCCAAAATCATTCAGTGGTAAGAAATATTTCGTCTCTTTCATTGATGATTTCTCAAGAAAGACGTGGGTTTATTTTTTGAAGGAGAAGTTAGAAGTGTTTGAAACTTTCAAGAAATTCAAAGTGATGGTGGAGAAAGAAACAAGTAAAGTCATCAAAGCAGTCCGATCTGACAAAGGAGGTGAATCCACTTCTGTTGAGTTCAACAAATACTGCGAGGAACATGGGATCAAGCGTTTCTTGACTGCCCCATATTCTCCGCAGCAAAACGGTGTAGCGGAACGAAAGAACCGAAATATTCTTGATATGGTTCGATCTATGTTAAAAGGGAAGAATATGCCGAAGAAGTTTTGGGCAGAGGCGGTGCAGTGTGCAGTCTATGTGCAAAATAGGTGTCCACATGCAAAGCTAGGAGAAAAGACGCCTCAGGAGATCTGGAGTGGCATGAAGCCGAGTGTTTCTCATCTGAGGGTGTTCGGTAGCGTGGCCTATGGGCAAGTACCAAGACAGCACATGACAAAATTAGAAGATCGGAGCAAGAAGTACATATTTATTGGATATGATGAAAAATCCAAAGCATACAAGTTGTTTGATCCTGATAACAAAAAGGTGGTGGTGAGCCGAGATGTTCACGTGGAGGAAACAAAGCAATGGTGTTGGAGTAACTCGGCTGAAGTAGAAACTAGCTCGGACATTGTTGTGCCTTCAACAACAACTACCACCGAGTTCTCAGATGAAGAATCCGAGCCACAACAACCCAAGATGAGAAGTCTGCAGGAAATATATGACACTACAAGTGAAGTTCATGTTGTATGTCTTCTGGCCGACACTGAAGACTTGAGTTTTAAGAAAGTTGTCCAAGATGAGAAGTGGAGAACAACCATGGATGAGGAGTTTGGGGCGATTGAACGTAACAAAACTTGGGAACTGACCAACCTTCCTGAAGGAGCTTGACCCATTGGAGTAAAATGGGTGAACAAAAAGAAGATGAATGCTGAGGGAGAGGTTGACCGTTATAAAGCTCGGCTTGTTGTGAAGGGCTATAGACAAAAGGAAAGAATTGACTATGATGAAGTATTTGCTCCTGTCACGAGAATGGAGTCAATCCGACTTCTGATCTCGTTAGCTGCTCAGAAACAATGGCCAATTCTACAGATGGATGTGAATAGGCCTAAAGGCCAAATAAGGTGGTTTTAGCAGCCCATAACGGGCTGTTCCAAAATCGTAACGGGCCGTTCCAACGTGACTAAAACACCTAAATAGTGTTAGGCTAGAACGGGTCGTTCCAATACTAGAACGTGAACAATGTTCGTACGAGCATGCCTTGTACATAAAGAAATCAGAAAAGGATATGATGGTAGTTGCTCTCTATGTCGACGACCTCATATTCACTGGAAGCAATGCAAAACTGATTAAGGAGTTCAAGGAGATAATGAAGAAAGAATTCGAGATGACAGACTTAGGCCTGATGAAATATTTTCTTGGCCTAGAAGTGAAGCAATCGGATGAAGGGATTTTTATATCCCAAGAAAGGTATGCGCTTGAAATCTTAAAGAAGTTTAAAATGGAGGATTGCAACCCGGTTTCTACTCCAATGGAACCAGGCAGGAAACTCTCAAAGTTTGATGGAGGAGAACGAGCTAATTCTGGGAGATTTCGAAGCTTAGTCGGAAGTCTGAGATACCTTACAAGCATGAGACCCGACTTAATGTTGAGTGTTGGGATAACGAGCAGATTCATGGAGGATCCAAGCTACACACATTGGAAGGCCTTGAAGAGAATTCTGAGATATGTTCGAGGAAGCCTATCACTTGGTCTTTTCTACTCAAAATTGGATGACTACCGATTAGTGGGTTACTCTGATAGCGATTGGTGTGGAGATGTTGATGATCAGAAAAGTACTTCGGGTTATGTATTCCTACTCGGGAATACGGCTTTTACTTGGCTTTCAAAGAAGCAGCCCATTGTAACTCTGTCGACCTGCGAGGCCGAGTACGTGGCGGCCTCTTGGAGCGTATGCTATGCAGTTTGGCTTTCAAATTTACTAAGGCATATGGGAGTGATCCGAGATGAAGGGATTGTGATCCGAGTTGATAACAAGTCGACGATCGAGTTGGCAAAGAACCCGGTTAATCACGGAAGGAGCAAGCATATCGACGTCCGATTTCATTTCATCCGAGAACAGATCAGAGAAGGAAAGGTCGAGTTGGAGCATGTCGAAAGCCGAGCTCAAGCTGCGAACATATTTACCAAGCCACTGCCAACTACACTGCTGGAGAATTGTAAAAGGCTGATTGGAATGAGAGATGGGAAAAGTATTTAAGTTTAAGGGGGAGATTTGTTATAAAACTTAAATTAGGAGTTTTATTTTGCTTGGTATTCCTAGAGTAATATTAATGATTTTAATTATGGGTGGCATATGAAGATGTGCAAACATTTTTTTCTTTTCTGCTATAAATAAATGTAACATTTCACTTGAAAGATGAATGAGAACACAGAGAGTTTATTTGCTCCCAATTTTATGTCTTATTTGTGATTAACAAAGGCGACCTTAAAAAGGAAAAAGATGAAAATAATGCAAGAGATTTTCAAAATTAACCACTTGAAAGATGAATGAGAACACAGAGAGTTTATTTGCTCCCAATTTTATGTCTTATTTGTGATTAACAAAGGCGACCTTAAAAAGGAAAAAGATGAAAATAATGCAAGAGATTTTCAAAATTAAGGAGGATTGCAACCCGGTTTCTACTCCAATGGAACCAGGCAGGAAACTCTCAAAGTTTGATGGAGGAGAACGAGCTAATTCTGGGAGATTTCGAAGCTTAGTCGGAAGTCTGAGATACCTTACAAGCATGAGACCCGACTTAATGTTGAGTGTTGGGATAACGAGCAGATTCATGGAGGATCCAAGCTACACACATTGGAAGGCCTTGAAGAGAATTCTGAGATATGTTCGAGGAAGCCTATCACTTGGTCTTTTCTACTCAAAATTGGATGACTACCGATTAGTGGGTTACTCTGATAGCGATTGGTGTGGAGATGTTGATGATCAGAAAAGTACTTCGGGTTATGTATTCCTACTCGGGAATACGGCTTTTACTTGGCTTTCAAAGAAGCAGCCCATTGTAACTCTGTCGACCTGCGAGGCCGAGTACGTGGCGGCCTCTTGGAGCGTATGCTATGCAGTTTGGCTTTCAAATTTACTAAGGCATATGGGAGTGATCCGAGATGAAGGGATTGTGATCCGAGTTGATAACAAGTCGACGATCGAGTTGGCAAAGAGCCCGGTTAATCACGGAAGGAGCAAGCATATCGACGTCCGATTTCATTTCATCCGAGAACAGATCAGAGAAGGAAAGGTCGAGTTGGAGCATGTCGAAAGCCGAGCTCAAGCTGCGAACATATTTACCAAGCCACTGCCAACTACACTGCTGGAGAATTGTAAAAGGCTGATTGGAATGAGAGATGGGAAAAGTATTTAAGTTTAAGGGGGAGATTTGTTATAAAACTTAAATTAGGAGTTTTATTTTGCTTGGTATTCCTAGAGTAATATTAATGATTTTAATTATGGGTGGCATATGAAGATGTGCAAACATTTTTTTCTTTTCTGCTATAAATAAATGTAACATTTCACTTGAAAGATGAATGAGAACACAGAGAGTTTATTTGCTCCCAATTTTATGTCTTATTTGTGATTAACAAAGGCGACCTTAAAAAGGAAAAAGATGAAAATAATGCAAGAGATTTTCAAAATTAACGAAATTTGTTTCCCTTCATAAAATTGAGTGTTTATTCATGAAAAATTATGAGATATGATTCATTACCAATTCATTGAGAGTCAACAAATAAAAATACAACCCTTCACCAAAAGTTATGAGATTGTCTTTCTAAAAGGATGTATCTTCATTCTTTACTAAATTACATGAAATAATCTATAAATAGATATATAACATGCAAATAGAAAATAAGAAACAAATAATGAAATAACTAGATTTTTTTTTATTCAAATCATTTCGTATATTATTTAGTGCGTTTTCATATATATATATAAAAAAAACTCTATTGTGATGTTTTGTAGAGATATAATTTTCAAGAAGAGTATGATATTGTTATGATATAAAAATTCAAATACATCTTTATATTAATATAATATTATTTACTTTAAATTTAAACTTATAATTTTTTTTGTCATCATTCAAAAAGTATTATTTTATTAAAATATATATTTTATAAATCTTTATTTTATTATTATTTTAAATGATATGAGATTTTAATTATATCTATTGTATTTGATGAAATGTGTCCTTTGACATTAAATTAGATTTAAAAATAATTATGTTAACTTAGTAGTTGGGTGGGGAGAGGTTGAGATAATTAGAAGCATGAGGACCTAGGTTTAATCCTTATTGTGACCATCTTTGTAATTTTTTCTATTTTTACCAAAAAAAAAAAAATTTAAAAATAATTATATTGAAATGCATGTGCGTCCTTATTTTTGGTAGAAGGCGAGAGAATTGAAAAGAAAATATGGGTCTGTATTTCTCATACGTAAGGGACTATCTCCTAAACAACTAAAAGTTGCCACTTCCACTAGTTACTGACCATAGTAAATAAAGCAGCACCTTAACTTAAGTCCCTAACCAACAGAGTTATTGTTATTGTTTGGGAAAAATAGAAAGAGATAACCCAAGTTAGCTCTGATTAAAAACGTTACAAGAAAAGAATTCTGAGGAAGAGCGGAAAAGAAATAGAATTAAAATGTAAGTATCTTGTTACAAAATCAGAATGTATGGATTGTAAGCATAATTTATGAGTTGATCTTTACCCACTGTTACAATGAAATCAGAGTCTATGTAACTTGAATACAGACGGTTGGGGGGTATCATCGATCAACAATAGTACTTAATCTTTTAGGGCCTACAACACTAATTACTAATACTTACATTGGTGCTTCCCATTCCACCTATCTAAATTCGAGTCTTGAGTCTTGAGCAGACCCTGAGTGGCATCACTGAAGTGAAATCATAATTAAACAGATTTAGTATGATATAATCGAAAATACGAAGAAATTGAATTGTGGCACATGGATTCCATTCCAAATATTTATTGATGAAGCAAGCTTACCCCGTAGAGACAATGTTGACGAACAATTGTTTGGTTTAGTACACTGAGCAAAACCTCACATGATAGTTTTGCCTGTGGGAATAATAAGGGATATATTATGTATTTCCTTCAGAAAAGAGCATGAGCAGAGAGTGATTTACTAACCTTCATGGGGAAGTGAAAGAAGAAGAGACCCAATTGGCCCCGAGCCTGGCTAATTGTTTCAAAGGGTACAGTACCTTTAGCCAGGTCCTCCAGCAACATCACCAGCTCAGGAAGCACACTGATCCCAGCAAATTCCACGTCAGCGTCCACGTAGGAAGACCCCCTGGCCCTCACGTGCACCTGCCTGGACATCACGTGCCCCAGCATCTTCCCCCTGTAGGCGACTGCCACGTTGACTGCCCCGAAGTCCATGGAGTAGACGTCAGCGTTGTGCACCCTCAGTGTCAGGATCATGGAAATGTCTAGGGTGATGGGCGGCACAGGGTGCACCTTGATACGCCTCAGCCTCAGCCCCACGATCTTCATATCAGGATCCGACGGCCACATGATGTAGAGGCTCGTCGCCAACGCAAGGACACCCACCGCGCAGGTTATCACAAAACGCCGCGACAAAACGACGTGGTTTTCACGAGGCTTGCGCAGGAGGAGAGTGTGGAACGAAGCTTTGGAGAATCGCATGGTGTCTCTGTGTAACTCGGTCGCATTGATTTCATGAAGATGATATTTGTGTTTGAAACTGAAACATATGATTACTGTTTTTGGTGTGGTCCATGGGAAATTGGCCTGTGCTTTCCTATTTTGTCTGTCTTTCTCTTTGTCCTCATTGCTTCCTCCAAAACTTCAAGCCATCAACTTTGCTTATGCTTCAAACACAAGTTAACATGGATTTGCTTTTTTTTTTTTTAACCTCTCTAGCTAAAGCAAACTTCTTTTCAGCTCCTCCTTGTACAGAAATTCTATTCATGTAAAACTTTTATGGAATATTTTTACAATGCAGAGAAAATAATGGCTCAACTTTATGTTAGTACAAGCTTCATTTTGATTTTTTGAACAAGGTTTCAGGTGAAATCTTGCAAATTGTTTGTTTATCACTTTGTATTTTCATAAGATTTTCAGGCATATTATAAGTGAAAATGCTTATATAAAAAACTGTTTAGTTATATTTTTAGAAATGCTTTTTCAAATTTAAAATAATTAAGATAGCAAATCAATAGAAATAAAAATTACAAGTGTTATAAAAAAATAATTTCACATTTCTACGAGAATATTACTATCACTTTTTCATCCATTATAGCGAGAATAAAAACTTTTTGAAAGAAGTTTATTTCTTGGAATGGTATTATATATTGGAGAATCATATTCTCAATTCTCAAGAATAATATGAACCAATAATGTTATTCTTGGAAATATTTTAAAATAAGTTTAGTTAGAATTCAATATTCTTAAGAATATTTTAAATTTTAAAATAATTAAAATAAAAATTATAGTTGAATTAGATAATTACGTTTCCATAAAATATAACTTTCGTACCCTCACCATGAGAGTGAAAATAGATTAAATCGTGACATAACTTGTACCGGAGAGACCGTATCGGTCACGTGGGCCAACACGTGCCATTTCGTCAGACACCCATGCATAGCCACGTACAAGCATCACCATCAACGTCGGCTCGGCCTGAGGCCGAGAACCGACATCAGTCTGGTTAATGCAAATATGGATCATCCCGACATAGAACATACCGGAAGTATACAGGCTGCCGTATACGGACTAGACGGTTCGGTCATTTGTCGTTCCGACTAGTATCGATTAGCCGGCTCGACCTCTTGCCGAAGGGTTAAGCAAGTCATAACAGTAATCA